ACTTGGTAACAATCCTTATCTTCTTGTCTGAATAAAAAATAATTACTAATATCATAATTTGAAAAAATTGTCTTTGTGAAAGTTCTAGAAAATTATCTCAGCTTTCTAACAAAAAACAAAATCGGTGTATTTGGACTTTTGGAATAAAACATCATTGCTAACATTAGAATTTAAACAGATTTTCTGCATGAAAGTTTTGGGAAATTAGCTACAGGGCAGATTCGAACTTCTCCGTTATTGCTACAATTTAAACTTGAAAACGGTCTTTTTGAATCTTGGACTCTTCAAGAAAGTTTTAGGCCTATGTTTTAGCTTTCCATCCATATAAAGCATATCTAAATCCAATTCTACAACTTCAATTATGATCTAATAATCTAATATATTCTAGTTTGGACTGAAACAACATCTTTTTTCTAATTTTAGCCCTCTCTTTGTCTTCTAAATTTTAATAGTTAACCTCATCAATCAATACCTTGATTTACATAATAGGCCTGTATTTAAGATGAACATTTACCATAAATTAAAGATATCTTATATTATTAGATATATTATTATAAAACATGCTTTAGCTAAGGAGTTATTAATACTTCAAGTGCAAAATGATGATATAAAACCTTGATAAAAATGCACTTTTAAGTACTAATCAATAACTATATTTATGCAAGATTTGTACAAGTCAGTTAAATCCACACACATCTACCACTTGCCATCACTTTTCTTGACCATAACTACTTTTGCTAGCAAGACAGGGTATACCACTTTCCTAATGAAAACAACAAGTTTGTCTAATTCTTGTGTTATAGCCTTCAGTCTTTCTCCACTAAAGTCCCTCTTTTTCTAGTGAATTGGATGTGTAGTTGGATCTACTTTTAACTTATGAGTAGCTATTTTAGGGCTGATGTCTGGCATGCTTGATGCATCTATTGCAAAATTCCACCTTTCGATTTACAAATGCTATATCAATTGCTATTATTGTGTTAGTGTTAAGGTTGATCTTACTTTTGTAATGAATTTTTCATCTCCCCTAAACAAATATACTTCAATTCCTTAACAATCTTAGTTCTGATATGTACTCTTTCCTTCAAGGACTATTAGTGATTTTATATCAGCACTTTTTAACCCTTCAAGAAAGTGGTGGCACATTGCTTGGAATTTACTTGATCCCTTCACAATAAGACATGTAACACCTTGTACTTTAATTATGATTTTCATCTTTCTAATTGTCCTTTATATGAAAACTTGGGGTATTTTTTTATACAACCATAAGAATTTCCTTAAACCAACATCAATTTTGTTATACAACCATAAGAATTTCCTTAAACCAACATTAAACAATTTCATTAACAAAACAATCTTTATTTATACTTTTATGTGAGAACATCACTTTTCAATTTATTTACAAACATTTACTAGACAATACTAGAACCTATTCAATATAGAAAGGCTAAATAACTCAATAATATTTCATGAGGAGTTGTGATATCCTAAAGAAAATTCCTGTAAAATATACAAATCATGAAACTCCTAATCAATATTTGCCTTCCAACAATTATCAATGATACAAATAAAACCAATTTCACTAACTTTTTTTGGTAGATACATCAATCTATGCTAGATTCAAATTTAATACATTCTTGTAAATCATTGGTGAACTTTTATTTCATCATAATACTCATTTAACAATCAGTCATATTATAGTAGCTCTTGTTCATAACATGTTTGACTCATACTTTGATTCACTTTCTCAAATACACTTAACTCATATGATTTTATGCATATCTCGCAACCATCTCTGGTTCACACCATTGTTTCAATATCTAATATATTTAATTTATGACACTTATTGTTTTACAAATATGTTTATACCCTTTCAACCAATACTCATGTTATTTTAACTCATTATATACCATTTTAGCTCCCACTTGCGATTCATTCAATATACACATTCATGTTCTTTTAACATATATTTTGTCATTTTAGCTTTTTATGTGATTATTTGCCTAGTTCAACCTCGCTAATTCATATTTATCATCATTATGGTTCATCATTTCATTACCTTTTCACATAGACCATGCTATTATCTTCCACACTATTTTTGACTTTTTTTCAAAAAGATGTAAGCCTATACTTTACCTTGACTTATTACTTTCAAATGAAAACTTTCTCAATTTAATAAAATTTTAGCAGTGTCTCTCTTAAAATTAAATGATCTCATATATTGACATCAATAATCCACAAACATTCTAAAAAATTCCATAGTCTCACCATCATAGACCTCAAAACATTACATTACTAATCATGAATAAAATTCAACAATAGAATAACAAATACATAAATGCATAAGTTTATTTCATTAATCTGTAGTTAACATTTTAACACAAATACATAATTTTATTCTATTAGTTAGCTATTTAATTCCATCTAATAACCCATTAATAACCTAGCAAGACAATTGCATTAATGCCAATAGCTTTATTCTAAGCAACTTAGTCAATCAAGTATCTTAATAGTTAATGACATTGATGTCACTATCTTAACTTCAGATAGCTAGCCAAATTCAATATGCTGGTCATCAACCTTATTTATTCCAATAGCTCCAAATAGGTCGTCTAGTCAAATTCAATATGTAGGTCATCAATCTTATTAATACCACTAGCCCTAAGTAGGTTGGTTGGTCAAATTAAATAGTCGTCATCAACTTTGTTGATGCCACTAATTCTAAACAAGTCCGCTAGTCAAATTAAATAGTCAATCATCAACTTTGTTGATTCCACTTGCAGCAAACAGACTGGCTAGTCAAATTCAATATAGCAGTCATTTACCACTAGCCCCAAACAAGTCAACTAGTCAAATTAAAGATGTCGGCCATCAACCTTGTTGATGCCACTAGCCCCAAATATGTCAGGTAGTCTAATGAAATATGTCAATCATCAACCTCATTGATGTCAGTCGCCCCTCTACACACACACACTAATTTACAATCCTAGAGGTGCATTCACACCATAATATTTTTATTTTTTTCTCTACTTGTAAGCGATATTCATACAATAATAACATTTCTCGTGCCCATAAAAAGATTCACATAACAATATTTATCATGTCATAGGTATTCATATAACAATATTTCTTATTCTTGTAGGCAATATTCATATAACAATATTTTTCATGATATATAGTAATAAATAATACATATGATTTCTATCATATTCCATCATTACAAAAATTTAAACAATTAAAGAAGTAAAGGGGCAACCCTTACCTTAAGATCTTGTTATACACACTCCTGAGAAGTTAGGTCCCACTTCGTATGCTTCTCTAACACTTCAATAAAACATCTTGAATAAATATTCAAACCTTTCTAGTTCATTACTCACATTTAATAATTAACGTAATCGAATACTTTCATAAACAATTCATGATTATACTATTTTGTTTATCATTTCAATTCATTTACATTAGCAACTTACACTGACATTTAATTTTTGAATGACTCAATTTTTCATTGACAATTCTCGATGTCCGAACGACTTAATTTTTCATTGATGAATTCTATATAACAATTTAAGCCAAGTTCAACATACTTCATGCTACCCTTTTCAAATTAATCCTTCCCTTAAGCCAAGTTCAACATAGTTCATACTACCCTTTTAATATATTCATAATCTTGGCCAAGTAAGCTTTTTCCTCTTTTAAAATCTTTCTCAATAAATATCTCACTTTATACACTATTTAACATACTTATCAACTTACAATACTTGGAGCAAAATATACCCAATAAGTGTTCGATTTCATCTAAACCCTTTTAAATTTCATATTATCCACTGAGTTGGAACAATAAGCCAACAAGTTGTAACATTAATTAAGTTGGAACACTAACACAACAAGTTGCAATAGTGAATCAATGAGTCTGGGAACAATATATTCAAACAACTATAACTTTGTGTACACTTAAATTCATCTCAATCCCAATGATAAAGTTATAGAACATCATCTAATACACAACCCATCCCAAATTCAGTTTAATCAATTAATTAAATTATCAAATATAAGGAAAGGTCTAAACTAACTTGGATAATGATGAGTTACTATTCAGGAAGAACATGTTTTTTTAGGGTGTTTGCTTACAATCTCCACTTATTAGAAGGAAGAATACAACTAGGTGAATCACCCTAACAAATTTTAGGCAAATCCAATGATGGATGGAGGAGAAACAATTTGGTGACCTTGACTAACTTGAGTAGGTTTTATCATAAACACTTTGCATGTCATATCTCCCCAATGGAGGCTGATAATCACAATCCCTCTAATCAAAGTATATAGGCTGATGAGGTACACAACATATCTAAAACTTAGTCTGATTCGATAGTGAACAACAAAGTTATGGCTTCTAGAGTGGAAACCCTCTTTTCTTTTCTCTCTAGCCTTAGCTACTTAATATTTTGGTAGTACATAGAGAAACTGAGGTTGTTTGTGTTTATTTACAAAAATTTCACTATTTAGTTGATGTATCATTTTTTGTATTTTTATTTAACTATTAGTACCTTTTCAGGACCTTATTCAACTCTGTTAGACCTAAAATTTTAACTTAAGATAGAACAATAGATCAAGAGACTCCTCTTAAAATTTTATCTCGATCAACTAGTTAATTTGAAAGATATGCTCGATATTGTAAAACTAGACGGTAAGAAATTTTACCATAAAAATCCAAAATTTATGTGCTATTTTATTTACTTAAATCATCATTATTTCCAAACTAATTCATTGAAGACTCTCATCCATGACCATCATAAGAGTTTCCTTAGAGTTTTCATGACTTTAAGAAAATTATAAGATTGTACGCGTTTTTTATATTAACAATCAACATTTGTTGCTCTTACACATTAATTTATTTGGAATTACCTTATTTTTTGTAAATATTTTATATCCAAATTTATAAAAAATCTTCATTAAAAATAATTAGTTTACATGATTGGAAAGTTTACACAATTTATCACTAATTAACATTCCACATAATGATTTTATTACTTTATTTCATTTGAAATTTAAGTGAAATAACTAAAAAATTATCCCAATCTACAACAATTTGCCTTCTTAATTATCATTTCTCAATCAAAATTTACCTTTTTTATGTCTGATTTACTAGTTTTTTTATCAAGGGTTTATATGGCAACTCCATGTTAAGTTAAGAATTTCAATGCCAAGTACCTGATACTGAATACAACATTGACTTGGTATAGTAAAGCTCTTCCTATGATGGCATTATAAGTTAGTATGATATCAATCACCATGATACTTTGTTAGAGTGAGACATATCTTGGCAGAGTGCCAATAATAACAAGTAGTTCAAAAGCACCTTTATCTGAAATCTCTAAATCTTTTATCCTAATGAGGGGAGTCTTAATTGGTGTTAGTTTTGAAGAAAGGATCCTTATCTAGACAATGAATTTTATAGAAATGACATTAACTACACTATCAACATCTACTAGCTCCCAATGTACTCTATGACTAGAGATAATAGTGGTAAAGATAAGGATGTCTTTATTTGAAAATGTCACTTCCTCCCCCATCTTGAGGAGTAAAAACTATTACCTTGTATCATTGGTCCAACAGTTTAGTAGCTATGAGAACTTTTCTCCATACTTTCTCTTTCCATTGTTAGAGTCACCTCCACAAGAGGTACCTTTTAAGATCATATTGATCTCAGGCACAATAATAATAGATTGACTAGGCTCTTTTCTATTATACTTTAAGTGAAAATCCTTCTTCAGAAACTAACTAATGTAGCATTTAACTGTCAACCTTTCAATTTCATTTCTCTAAACATAACAATCCTCAATGTCATGTCCTTTATCTTTAAGAAAAAGATAATATTTCTTAGATGTGCTGGTGTTTGGATGAGACTTAATAGGTAAGGGATAGCATACAAATTCCTTGCCTTGGATGGCCACAAGGACTTCAGTGAGAGTCGTGTTTAATGGAAGAGTATGCATTTCAGAGTAGCCTAAGCGTTCCCTCATCGGTTTCTTTTGGTTGCTCTTAGGGTTATTATCCCCCTTGGGAGAGCAATCCTGTTTAGGTAAGCTAATATGTTTAAGGGACCTTTCTGCCTGTTTATCTTTCAAAAAAAAAAAAGGACCATTGTCGTAATCCATTTTTAAGTTATTCCTTAATTCATATTTTTTATCTCTTAAAAAAGTACAATCTATCTTTTTAAAAAATACAAAACAAATAAAAAATATTATCAAAAAAAAATATAATAGTGAAAAAAGGATGCCAAAATGCTCAAAAAATTGTCAAACATTTGTTAAGGAGGTTTTAAAATACCAAGATTGAAATGTGATAGTATTTTATTAACTGATGAGAGCCCTGTTGACAAAGAAAAATCAATTTGAGGAAGAAAAGTCCAAAAATCAGATGTTTATAGACACAATTAAATTTTATTAAAGGTTTAATTGAATTTATGAATAGTTTGATTGCAAGAAAAATTGATTTTGAAGTCATTTTGAGCTTTAATGTGAAGAAATTAAAGATCTGGAGTCAAATTATAATTTTTTTAGAGTTATTTTGGTCAAATCAGGGGCTTAATTGCATAAATATTGAAGCTTGATGGCCAAATAGGGACTTAATTGAAGAACTCCAAGACCAAGTACCAAAATAAAAAATATGCATAAATAAATGGCTATAATTAAACTAAATATGGGAGCTAAATTTAAAAAATTAAAATTTTATTGATCAATCAAGGGTTAAATTGTATAAATCAGAGATCAATGATCAATTTGGAAAAGGCGGCCAACTTCAAGACCGACGATTGAATTTGGTAGAGATGCAATTGAATTGAGATTTAAAATCAAAATTGCAATTGAGGACTTGATTTAAAAAATCACAAATTATAGACTAATTTGGATTTTGATGTTTTTTATGCCTTTTTCTTTTTTTAAAAAAGCCTAAAACGATGTCATTTTGAATGACACTATAGCCTTTCTTCTTTCCTTTGACGCGTAGAAAATAGGGGAAGAAGAAAGTTTTGTTCCCTTTTTTTCACCATCTTGTCCTCCGCTGAAAAGCTCAAAAAGATATCGACCAAAGCACCCACTCGCTAAGCTAACCCTTGGCCTCC